CAGCATTTTTGTGTATTTGAACCCTTTCCAACAATGACTGTATGATTCTGAGATCCATCTTTTCACACTGAGGACAACTGAGGGACTCATATGCAGCTATTACAGAAGGTTCAAACGCTCTCTGATGCTCCAGAAGGAGAAACCATGCATTAAGAGCTGGGGGTGAAAACGTTTTGAATTTGAAGATCAAGGTAAATTTAACTTATTTTGTCTTCTGGGAAACATGTAGGCCTAAGTATCTTCTGCAGCTTCTGAAGGGCAGAATATTTAGGCAAAATAAGAAAAATGTACAGTACACACACACACACAAACATGTATACATGTGTGTGTGTATATATATATATATATATATATATATATATATACATATATGTTATATATATATATATATATATATATATATAGTTTGTTATTGTTATGATGTTTTTTGTTGTATGTTTTCTCATTGTAATGAAAAAACATTATCGATGGAATTTTGAGTTTGAGTTCATATTGAGACTTTTAATTGCAGACTCTGGCAAATCTGAGCACAGTTTGAGACATTGAGATCTCTTATGAAACTCTGGAGGATTTACTGCGATCACATTTGGGATTTTCTTTCCTCTGTGTTTTCATGAGTGTCAGGGGTTTTCTGAGTGTGTAACGTGTGTCCGCTCTGTCAGGTGCTTGTGCCAGCTGGACCTGGTGCTCATCATCAGATATAAAGCATACAGTTGCCACGGTGCAGAGAGGATGACGTCACCTGTGAAACCATAGCAACCGTCTCCTCCACACACACACACACACACACACACACACATATACCTTTCTCTGGGCTGAACTTTTTTTCTGTGCCACTGAATTTGTCCCTGTTTCCACCTCTTGCTATAGATGGTGGTCTGAACTATGCCAGTCTAATGATTTATTCCCCAATCCTCCTAATGTCTAGTAATGACTATGACTGGCTCAGCTCTGAGAAATCAGGCCAAGTGCTTTGTAATACAGAAGCGTAGCATATTGCTGGCGGCTCCAGACCTGGGTCTGCAATTGCTCTTTGTACCCAACAGAATCAAATATACCCATACTAACACTATCTTGAACGTTTATAGCTGGTGCCAAACCGCAAACACGATCTCTGATTGCTTTTCTCCCAGAACACATTCTAAAGGGAAACAGCAATGCACAGACTCACCTTCATTTTGTCATTAACAGTCTTTATACATAATACTGATTTGCTGTCTGAAGTGTAGATAGTAATTCAGGGTCCAATGAGAGTTTCTGACTGGGAGCAGCTGCTCTGTGAGTCACACTTTTCCTTCTCCTCAGCCAGATTTTGGGAAGAGAGGAGAGGAGAGGAGATGAGGGAGACAGATCTTCTGGGAGGAGGATTATATGAGAGAGACGAGTGCAGGGAAAAGAGGAAACAGAGATGATAGGAAGATCACGGCTGCGCTCTTAAAGGAACAGTGCAGAGAAAAAGAACATTCCGTCCTCGTTTACTCTCCCTCATATCAATGCAAACCTGTATGACTTTCTTCCTTCTGTGAAACACAAAAAGCAGAACATTCACACTGATCTCTTCTGTACAATGAAAGTGGTTAATGTCAAGCTCTAAAAAAGAATCATAACAGTAGCTCAGATGATGTGTGCTATATTTTCAAACTGAATGATAGCTTTATACAGAACACATAAAAATCATTTTTTATGTTCCACAGAAGAAAGAAAGTCACAGAGGTTTGTAATGATGGTGACTAAATGATGACATTTTTGGATGAACTGTTTCTTTCAAAATTAATGTTTTTGTAAAAAACTAAACAAAAAAACATTTTATTCACTAGAAACCAAAACACGTACTACAGTATAATGCAGTGCATCTGGAAAGTATTCGCAGCGCTTCACTTTTTCCAACATTTTGTTATGTTACAGCCTTACTCCAAAATGGATTAAATTAATTATTTTCCTCAAAATTCTACAAACAATACCCCATAATGACAATGTGAAAGAAGTTTGTTTGAAATCTTTGCAAATTTATAAAAAAAAAAATAAAAAAAAATCACATGTACATAAGTATTCACAGCCTTTGCTCAATACTTTGTCGAAGCACCTTTGGCACCAATTACAGCTTCAAGTCTTTTTGAATATGATGCTACAAGCTTGGCATATTTTTGGGCAGTTTCTCCCATTCTTCTTTGCAGGACCTCTCAAGCTCTTACTTTCTAGATGCACTGTATCAAGAAAACCTGTCAAAAAGTCATTTTCACAAAAAAAAAAGAACAAATTAATTAGTTGATATTTAGAAGCATTAAGATTTTTTTGCATTTTATGATTATAATTTTGCATTATTTTAATGAGAATTAATCAGATTTTC